AAGGATCATGCCTGACTAATCTAATCGCCTTCTATGATGAGATTACTCGTTCTGTGGATGAAGGGAAAGCAGTGGATGTATTGTTTCTTGACTTTAGCAAAGCTTTTGACACGGTCTCCCACAGTATTCTTGTCAGCAAGTTAAAGAAGTATGGGCTGGATGAATGCACTATAAGGTGGGTAGAAAGTTGGCTAGATTGTCGGGCTCAATGGGTAGTGATCAATGACTCCATGTCTAGTTGGCAGCCGATGTCAAGTGGAGTGCCCCAGGGATCGGTCCTGGGGCCGGTTTTGTTCAATATCTTCATAAATGATCTGGAGGATGGTGTGGATTGCACTCTCAGCAAATTTGCGGATGATACTAAACTGGGAGGAGTGGTAGATACGCTGGAGGGCAGGGATAGGATACAGAGGGACCTAGACAAATTGGAGGATTGGGCCAAAAGAAATCTGATGAGGTTCAATAAGGATAAGTGCAGGGTCCTGCACTTAGGACGGAAGAACCCAATGCACAGCTACAGACTAGGGACCGAATGGCTAGGCAGCAGTTCTGCAGAAAAGGACCTAGGGGTGACAGTGGATGAGAAGCTGGATATGAGTCAGCAGTGTGCCCTTGTTGCCAAGAAGGCCAATGGCATTTTGGGATGTATAAGTAGGGGCATAGCGAAGCAGATCGAGGGACGTGATCATCCCCCTCTATTTGACATTGGTGAGGCCTCATCTGGAGTACTGTGTCCAGTTTTGGGCCCCACACTACAAGAAGGATGTGGATAAATTGGAGAGAGTCCAGCGGAGGGCAACAAAAATGATTAGGGGTCTGGAACACATGAGTTATGAGGAGAGGCTGAGGGAACTGGGATTGTTTAGTCTGCAGAAGAGAAGAATGAGGGGAGATTTGATAGCTGCTTTCAACTACCTGAGAGGTGGTTCCAGAGAGGATGGTTCTAGACTATTCTCAGTGGTAGAAGAGGACAGGACAAGGAGTAATGGTCTCAAGTTGCAGTGGGGGAGATTTAGGTTGGATATCAGGAAAAACTTTTTCACTAGGAGGGTGGTGAAACACTGGAATGCGTTACCTAGGGAGGCGGTAGAATCTCCTTCCTTAGAAGTTTTTAAGGTCAGGCTTGACAAAGCCCTGGCTGGGATGATTTAATTGGGGATTAGTCCTGCTTTGAGCAGGGGGTTGGACTAGATGACCTCCTGAGGTCCCTTCCAACCCTGATATTCTATTCTATGATTCCTCTAAACATGTGTAAGAGCAGTGGTGGACTTGCTTGAATACAGTCTCAGAGTACATGGCATTTCCATGCTGCTTTTGGTCCAACATAGTTTCAATGAGGATGAGTCTACAGGAGCTTCTCACGTGCTACTCTAGCAGAAGTAGCTTTCCTAGGATCTTCCTTTCCCCAGGGCCAGGGATCTATTGTTTGGATTAAGCAGCATCTCCAGCAGCACTAAAAATAAAACTGCACATTCAAGGCACTGGAAGAGCTTTAGAGAGAGAAATGTTCCAGAGGAGGGTGACAAATTTGTGAAGGCATCCTGTCGCACACACAAAAACTGCACTTGCATGGGCAAATTTTAAAGGTGCAACTTATCATGGGCACCAAACTTGGTGAATCAGCCCTTAGCGGTTTCCAATGGAATAAGACCAAAATAATAGATTTATATATAGATGACATTTCTGTCTTTACCTTTAATTGCAAAAGGTTCTAAAAAGGGCAACAAAAATGATTAGGGTATGGGACAGCTGCCATATGTGGAGAGATTAATAAGACTGGGATTTTTCAGCTTGAAAAAGAGATAACTAAGGGGGGATATGATAGAGGTCTATAAAATCATGACTGGTGTGGAGAAAGCGGTAAATAAGGTAGTGTAATTTACTCCTTCTCCTAACACAAGAACTAAGGGTCACCAAATGAAATTAATAGGCAGCAGGTTTGAAACAAACAAAAGGAAGTATTTCTTCACACAACACACAGTCAACCTGTAGAACTCCTTGCCAGAGGATCTTGTGAAGGCCAAGACTATAATGGGGTTCAAAAAACAACTAGATAAGTTCATTGACTATAGTCCATCAATGGCTATTAGCCAGGATGGGCAGGGATGGGGTCCCTAGCCTCTGTTTGCCAGAAGCTGGGAATGGGCAACAGGGGATGGATCACTTGATGATTACCTGTTGTCCATTTCCTCTGAAGCACCTGGCATTGGCCACTGTCAGAAGACAGGATACTGGGCTAGATGGACCATTGGTCTGACCCAGTATGGCCGTTCTTATGTTCATCTATCAAAATGGGAAATATGAACTTTCCATCCTCTTCTTTATTTTGCCCCCCAGGTTCTTCAGAAACAGTCCCCAGATAATAATGAAAGAATGATGAGTCTCCAATACCATCAGACATTTTCTCTCCCAGCGGTACAGAAATATTCCAGTAAGCTCACCAATTGAAGGTGAAACAGCATGAGACTAATCCTACCTGTAGGACTGCAGAGTGCATCTCCATTAAATACATACTGAAAACAAAGGTTAGCCAGCCATATTGTATTAAGGAGTTCAGAAAGAATGTGCTGGTTTGAAGAGACACATTTAGCACACTGAGTGGGTCGGAGTCTTCCTAATGTTTAGTCACTGATGCGTTAATACCACAGGAGGACACTGGAATCTGGAATTATGTCTGCTCAGTTCGCAACTACCGTGCTGACACGGGGAGCTATAAACAGTGGAAGAAATGCCTTTGCATCCAACTGCAAGTGACTATACAAATAAGAAACATGTCAGAAAAAGAGAAAAGTAAACAACAAAGGCTCAAAGTGCAGGGGAGTTCCCAGAAAACACTGGCCATAGGACAGGAATTGTTCTACCCAGTTCTGATGTCCTGGAAACTTCCTGTGCATCACTGGTTAGAGGAACAAATGGAAAGGGCCTTGCTATCAGAACATCTCTCTCAGTCCTGTATCAGTGGAGGTCTGTTAGCTACCGTACATTCCTCCAGCGACTCGTCTAATGAGAGACTTGGTGTAACAAGGGTTTTACTGGGCGTAAGCACAGAGCCACCTAAGCTCTTCTACCAAAAGTCAACACAGAGCTCACCCACAATAACCCAACAGTCAGGTCTGTGCGCACATGCCCCTGGGTAATATAGTCAGGGCCCAATTTTCAGAAGAGGCGATATCAGGTGCTTAGATGTCTATGTGTCATACAATGCACCCCCCGAACTATGCATTAAATTGTTTGCAGCTACATCACTTGGGGTGAAAAAACAGAGACTGAGTGAAGATCCCTTTGAAAGCTGGGACCTCAGCGTACCAGAGGAGAAGAACATGGCAGCATCTTCTCCTCTTAAAGACTAGCTATGGGGACTAGATATGTGTATCATGGACAGGAAGCCTCTTGCCTTCAGGGACTAGGGTGTATGAGACAATAGGTTAGAGACTCCGAAATTAGTCTACTTTGGATTCACAGGACAGTTGCCACAGCATCCATTGGAGAAACAGGAGCATTCATTGTGAGCCGACCTCTCTAGGGGAGTGGGAATAAAACCTTCTTTCATGCCTGCAGTGGTGCTGACCCTTGCTGCGTGAACCCCAAAGTCTGTTGGCCATGGGCAACATTGCTGGGATTGCTGCGCTGGCCTAAAACTGAGGCTCTCTGCTCGTTCCCTGGACAGGAACAGTGCAAGCAATGCAAGCATCAGCACACGGCCCGGCCCATGGGAGCACCTCGGGTTAGCTCAGCCTTTGGCCTCTTGGTTGAGATTGCCAGCAAGGGGTACTAGTTGGGATGAGCCTGATCCAAAGCCCTAGATCCAAGCACTCCAGATTTTTGGGGACATCTGCACTGGAACTTTATGACTTGGGCTCATCCCTGGGTTTTTTGTGATGTATCCTCCAGGAAGGTTGGTTGAGGCCACCAAACTGCTGTGAGATCCTGTGGTACAGATCCATCATCACTATTGGTCTGAGGAAGAGCCGAAGTCATGATCTAAAATAGGGAAGCTGGAGCATGCTGCAAGAGAACTAAAACCCCAAAATCCAAGGGCCTGTTGCTCACTTTCAGTAAGGCCCCTTTACATTGACAGTAATTGAGAGTCAGGCCACAAACCTCCCGCCCTTTCCGTCCGAACGGTTCCGAATATCCTAGGGAGGTTTTCTATAGCAGGAGCTGCCACTGACTTGCAGGGCTACAATGCTTGGGTGGAAGTTACCCGCAAAGCGGAGATTCACCATGAGAATGGAACACTACCAGGCCTGATCAGTGCCGAGGTTTAGGAGTAAGCATTAGATTGAGACAATGTGTGTACTTGCGTGTACCAGATCTAACGTGATAAGAACCCATGAATGGTGCCAGATCAACAGGCCCCGGAGTTCTCTCTGCAGGCACAGTCCAGTTACAGCAGAAGCAGCTGAAGACTGAGATTTTCCATACTGTCCTGCCAACGGGTCTGCCTGGGAGGCGCCACCACTAAGGATAGGAGGTAGCTCAGCTTCCGTGGCCCATGAAATACACAGCCTCTTACTGAGACAGCCAAAAAGAGCATTATTGTGTGCCGGTTTGGGGAGTGGTTTGGGGTTTTTTATGAGGACACCTGCTCACTGGGACATGGCCTAATTCCCATCAGCTTCATTTCACGTAGGCCCGCAAACAGCCATCACATGGGGTCAACTTTTATGTCCACCAGCCTGGGCTGAATTCAAAACCAGCAACACAGAGGCAAAAGGCTCCCTATACCCCTCACCAAACCAGGGCTCCAACACTCGCTACCGCAAAAAGGAAGAGCCATTGAACAGCAATTGGTAAAAACATAGCCAGGCCTGGCAAGCAACTAAGCAGGGGTCAAGGTTAATCACGCGGCTCATGGTAAAAAAAAAAAATAAATAAATCTCCCCCACAAGGCTACGAGAGCAGGAGAAGACTGTGCTAATGAAGTCTCCATGCTGAGCCCTCTCCCTCCAGGGAGCGTCTAGCTAGCCTCTGTACAACACAGAATGGGCTCTGCTCACCTGCTCGTGGTACTCGATCCCCATGCTGAGGGTGTTGATCAGAATGGCAATCATGATCCCCCGGCCAAAGTACTTGCTGTCCACGATCTTCCGGAATGTCTCGCACACCACTTTCCAGAAAGCTAGGATTTGGCTGGTTTTCCTTCCCTTGGTTTTCCCTCGCTGAGGGTCCCTCTGGTCGCTGTAGTGGACGTCTTGAGTGAATTCATACACCCCCTCGCTGTCCGAGTCCGCCGTCTCATTGTCCGTGAGCTCCAGGTCACGAGCCAGAGTCTTGATGCAGTAGGGGCAGCTGTCTGGGTTGCAGGAACCACTGTCCAGTTTCACACACTGGCTGGAAATTTTGCAAGAACTTTGACAGGCACCTAAAACACAAATAAGCTGAGGTAAGAGGAGTCTGTTCCCTGCATGCTGGGTCAGGGAAGCTAAGGGTTCAAATGACAGGAACTCCACATTCATTTTATTACCATGTGACGCTCTCTGTCTAGATCCTCCTTGTACAGGCTGACAGGAGTCTGGTTGGTCCCTAAGTCTGCATGAAGGCCAGAGAGAAATTATATTCTTGCTCCCTGTCTCAGCACTGGCCCTTTAAGAGGGAAAAGGCCAGGGCAGCTGTGGCTAGTCAGCTGATCACCAGCTGGGCTATCAGAGAAGGTGAGTCAGGCCTGAGAGTCAGTCCCAAAAGGGGCAGAGAGAGCTTTCACTGCATGCTCCCTGAGACTAGGGAAACGGGTCAGACAGGAGACCTGGGTAGTGGGAGCAGGAGCAGTAGGAAGTTCCCTGGGAGTGGTTGCTGTAGTGGGAACCTGCGGGAGGGAAAGAGTTTCCAGAGAGAGCGCCCTGGGAGGCCGTGCTCAGTGAACAGAGCACAGGAGAATCCTGCCATAGGCCCTAAAGCAGGAGGAATTGAGAGAGGCAAAGGGAAAACTCCCCTGGGAGCTATAGCCCAGGCTGGATGGAGGAGCTGTGTTTGTGAGGTTTTTGCCTATATTTGAGAAATAAAACTGCCTGGAAAAGAGACTCTGGGTGTGGCAAGGGGTCCTTTGTGGGCTGGGGACAAGCTATCACCTTACACATCCATAAAAGCTCAGAGCTTCTCTTTTAGACCTCAGGGGCTGTTCAGCTTCCTCACTCCCCTCTCCAAGATCCCAGCGCCACTCTGCTTTCTCACTAACAATATTATTTATTCCCAGTTCCACCCACAATTGGAGCTGGACCACATCTGTCAGCCAAAAAATGTGAAAATCAGTGACACCAGAACATTTCATGAATTCGTGTCAGTTTCGCCTGTTTGTTTCAATAAACAACAAAAATTCTGAAAATGTTGAAACCTTTGGTCTTTTCATTTTGAAATTTTCTTCACATTTATTGAAAAAAAAGCCCAAACTGGGCATGGCATTGAAACGAAACATTTCATTGTGGGGAGAATGAAACATTTAATTTGACACAAAATAAAAGAAAACTTTTAAAGAAACATTTTGATTCACCAGAACTGTTGAAATATTTTGTTTTTGATTTGACCCGCAATGAAATTTCATATTGATTTTTCAGAATTGCCAGGGAACCAAAAAAATCAGTTATTTGCTCAGCTATACCCACTCTCCTTTTCTTATCCTTGGTCTGTGGGGGCAGGATCCACAGATCAGGATCTGTCCTTTAGAAGTGTTTAGAAAGCACATAGCGGGCATTACAGCTAACAAATAAATAACAAGGCCCGATGCCTGTTCTAAGCATCTCCCAATTTCAGGAATTATTCTCTTATAAACCCCAGTTGCTTAGATTCCCCCAACCCTTGTACTGCACGTCCCAAGCAGGTTAAAGAGGGTCATGCAGAAACATTTTACTCCAAGGATCTTCCCTTTATAAACTAAGTGGTTTTCTGCTGCCCACAGTGAGACATTTTCACCAGCCAAGGGATCCTTACCACCTCATTATACCTTTGGCTATTAGGGCTAACAGAAAGCAATCAGCTCCTCCAGAACCTGGAGCGTTAGGTGTTGTAATTAGAGACAGTGCAGGAGCCAGCGAGTGACTTTCATACTCCTGCTGTTTGCTGATACTTCAGAATTACTAGCTTCCCCCTAAACATATGATTCTCAAATCGTTCCTCACAATGGCAGCTCCCAGCTGACAGATGGTTCCTTCACTTGACTGTACAGGCAGGATATGCTTCTATCATAGCTGCCTGCAAGAGGAACAGGACGTCTGCATGCTCATGCCTGATGCAGCCACAGTATCACCATCCAGGTTAGGTGAAATAAAAACCAAGCTCTCCCACCCCCACCTCAAAACCTTTGCCCATTTTCAGAGCCCAACTCAAATAACTTGTGGGGTTCTGGAATGACTGGAAAACCTTGTCCACTTCACACACAAGGTTCCAGTCAGGAGGGCGAACTGGAAAGGTTAAAACAGAGCGAAAGGCCATTGGTTTTGGGTTTTTTTGTTTTACTGGGACAGAAAGTGGACTTGCCAGAAAGCGGACTTGCCAGAAAGCTTCTACTAGAAGGACTTCCAGACCCCAGAGGCTGAGAGAGTTTGAACAAGGTTTGGCTATGTTCCCAAACCGCAGAGTGTAAAGGGGGAAGTAATGTCGTACAGAGAAGGTCTTAGACTGGGATTCAGGAGACCTCGGTTCAGTTCCTGGCTCTACCACAGACTTCTGGCGAGATTCTGAGCAAGTCCCTTGGGACCTGATTTTCAAACTTGCTGAGCCCCGCAGTTGTCATTGCCTTGACTTAGAGTTGTAGGTGATCAGAACCTCTGAAAATCAGGCCCAGAATCTCTCTGAGCCTCAGTTCCCTCTCTGTACAATGGGGATAACCGTACTCATGGGTGCATTATGGGGATAAATTCTTTCCAATCTGTGAGGCACTCAGATACTACAGTAATGGGGAGCAATATAAGCACCTAGAGAGGCAGCTCTCCAAACCCAAACCAAACATCAAAGAGTGGGCAGTACAGCCAGCACTGAGGGCAGTGTTCTGCCTACAGATGGGCCAGAACACCCCTGCGCTTTGGGCAAGTTGAGATCCAGATCTGCACTTTGTGGCTTGGGCCCAGCTCTAGTCTGATTAGGAAATGCGATGATTTGAGGTGGTCAGTGGGACTGGGGAGAAGAGCTAGGCGAGACAAACTCTTACGAAAAACACAGATTTCCTGATAGTCCATTGCCCTAGGTGTTTGCTGGTGCAAAGCTGGGAAACAGAGACTTCCACTCAGGATCTGAACTCAGGATGCATTTTGCAGGCGGGAAGATTCTGACTTGGCCTTACCTGGAAAGCCAGCTCCTGTACCTGTACTGCGGACTGAAAAGAATCCTGGAAAGATTCAGTGGAAAGAAAAAAAAAATTGGGACTTAGGTCTTATTTCTGGAATGCAACCAAAGGCTGACCCCCAGCTCCAGCACTCACCAGTACTCTGGGTCTCCAGGAGCTTGTGCATGGTGCTGTACGGCCCAGGAGGGATATTAAGGTTGGTTAGCGTGCTGGCCCCAGGGTTCACTGTAGAATCTGCTACATTTTTCTCTTTCAGCATCTCATGGGAGGTGCTTGGGTGTACGGTGGGATAGACCTTGTTGCCAACCACATTCTTGGGGAGCACCTCTGGGCTTGGTAAACTCAAGCCAGGCTGAAGGAGGGATGACCTGCAACGGACAGGCTCAAAGTGGCAATCTGCATGATAGATGCTGTGCACGGACTCTGCAGCAGCATTGGGGGCAGAATGGGGATTAGATGTTGCGGGAGGGAGCATGAGCCTGTTGGTGCCATTGTGGAGTGAGCTGGTTTCCACATCGCTGATTTCAGGGCTGGCGCGTGGTGCCCGCAAGTTCCCATTTCCCAGGTGGTAGTGGTGGTGGTGGTGGTGGTGATGGTGAATCAGATGGTGCACTGATGACCTTTTCCTCTGCCGATGTTTGCACGGCTGCCTCTCGGCCCCACTCTTATTCCTCGGGCTGGAGAGGAGACCCAGTTTGAACCCTGCCTCTCTATAGCCTTTGACCACCTGTTTGCTGGCCTTACGGGCAATGTAAACCAGATATTTGAGAAGTTCATCATAGCAGCTACCCGGCTCCGAAAAACTGGCCAGCGTGCTGGCATTGGATAGGTAGCGGACCCGCTGCTCCTTCATCAGCTGGCTCTCTCGCTGCTTTGTCTCAGAGAACTGGGTGGCGATGACCACTAAGCACAGGTTGATCATGAAGAAGGAGCCCACCTAAAGGAGAACAGAAGATGCCATCAGCCCAAGAGAGAGGGTGGCAGGGTATGTGTGTAATGACTTTTGATAGCTGCTACCACAATGGAAACAAAAGGACCCCAAACAGGGATCAGAACCTATCGTTCTAGTCAGTAGAGCTGGCCAACACTTTTCAGACAAAAGGTTTTTTTTCCCCCCACCAAAAAATAAATAAATGCACATTTGGGTCTACCAAAATATTTTGCAAAGTTGTGCCGAATTTGCTAAACGGTTTTGGCTGGAAAAAATAGTTGAAACAAAACATTTAGATTTTTCTATTCAAAATGACTTTGCATTTCAATTATGCTTCAATTTTATTTTGGAAAAAAAAAAGTTAAAACCCTTTGAACAAAAGATTTCATTTTGAGTTGAACCAAATGGGTTTCCTTGATGCAAAACATTTTTTTTGACATTTACATTTCTCTCCAAAAATTGAAAAGTTTTGTTCTGGGTCAACTAGAATAATGTCCGTCCCCCGCCCTTTTTTTTTTTTGGTTTGGCCACTGAACCAAGCAATCAGTTGTTCGCACAGCTCTTCTAGACACTGAACAAACAAATAACACAGCTTGTCTCTGCCCCAGGTTGCTCAAAGGATAAGGTAGGATATTGCGGACAGGTGAATAAATGTGTGTATGTGTGTGTTAGTTGTAAGGGTGATCTCAGGAATCGCACATGGTCACTAGTTTAGCCAAAGACAGATCACGGTGGTTTGCAGGCATCACAGCAGAGATGGGTTTTAAGCAGGGATCTGAAAGAAGATGAAGTGGCAGCTTTGTGAAATCTGTTGCGGGAGGTTTTCCCCCAACATAAGGGAGAGGACAGGAGACAGTGTGACGGTGCTTGTGGGAAAAGCAGGCGATGGAGGTTGGCGTCATTGACGGAGCAAATGGTCGGGTGGACACACAAGAAGAAATGACTTTCACAAGGTAAAGCAGGGCCATGCAGAGGAGGAGCTTAAAGGTGAGGATAGAAGCACCTTGTGCTCGGTGAGGAGGTGGTGGTGGCAGCCAGCAGAAGGACACAAAAAGTGGGGGTGAGAGGGCCATGGATGTGGGTGTGTGTGTGAAAGTGTAGGAGCGCTGGACACATCTGACACTGATACACCATAGGCAAGGGCTAATATTTCAGCAAAGAGTAGACATCACACCCTGACTCACTCACAGGGTGGGCGGCCCCCTGTCCTGTCTGCCTTGAGGGGCACGCAGGAGACAGCCTCTCAGAATCTCCACTGTGGGGCCTCCCACGCCAGGTCTCCACGGGTGACGTCATATATCAAAGAGGAGGGAAAGTTTATTTTGACTAAGAGTTTGCTTTTTTTTTTTTTTTTTTTTAATATCCGAGGTCCTCTTTGGGGTTTTGTTTTGTATTTTGTATTTTGTTTTATGTCTCAGCAGACACTGCTTGTAATTATCACAATTAACTGCATTAGAATGAAAGCACTGAGCCCTTTTGATAGGAGGCTTTTTCTTCTGGCAGCGTGTGGGTGGCTTGTGAAATCTTTGTTAACAGGATTTATGGGGATATTGTTACTCAAGAGCATCAGCTGTCTGTAGCCAAGGATTTGATATTTGATTCCAAACTTGGGTTTCATTAGATTCTGTGTTGTGTAGATCATGGGCACTATTCCACCTTGATTAAAAAGAGCAACCAATCACTTCTCAGTCTTGCATTCTCCCCAGTCCCCCGTAATACACAACAGCACAGGCTATCAATGCCTTGCTCTGCATTGTCTTTGGAATGCACAGAGCATACGGATCTGTTGCAGAGCAGAAGGAACGATCACTGAGTAGGAACAGAAACCCTTTGAGGACTCTGAGAACTAGTGATAGACTAAACAGCCTTTAACCTCTAGGTCACCGGTTCAAATCCAGGACTGGGTTGGTAACGACTATGAATGAGCACAATGGTGTTTGGTGGCCAATGTGCAGTGATTCTGGTGGCCTTGGTCCATGCCTAACAGGACAGGAGTCCACAACACAGAAGCTATCCCAGGTGGCAGTCTCAGCAGTCTCCAGAGATGTGGGCCTCAGCAGGTTGGGATTGAGACACAACTGAGCATGTGTGCTGCACTGAGGGCTTCAGCCTCCAGGACCATCAGTCTGACACTTTCCATCAAAGTAGGAGCGATGGTGTTTTCTTGTGGGTGGAGCCTTTGACAGGCACCATGTACCCCAAGAGTTCGAGCAGGCCGACACCTTTCAGCGGCAGGAAACTCACTTACTGTTTCATTTACCTTTTTTTTTTTTTTTTTTTTTTTTTTTTTTTTTTTTAATAAAAAGGCAAAGAGGAGGAGTCTACTGCAAAGCAGGAAGAAGGATGAGGAGGGTGACGTATTGCCGAACAGGAGGAGGCAGACCCACTGTAGAACAGGAGAACTTATACTTACTTCAGTTCTCGTCTCCAGCAAAATACAGCTAGATGTACAACTACAGCAGAAATTCACCCCCACGCAACATATTTCACCCCTTTAACAAGGGGAAATGGGGTTGTTCCAATGTATGTAAAACTCATCTGCAGGTCCTCCAATGAGTTGGTTTCCACCTCTCCCAGCCTGGATTAAGTGCTACCTCCAACACCCTTCCTGCCCACTCTTCCCATTCACACCACTACGTCCTTCCCTGTACGCCTGAGCAAAAGGCGTGCTACCCACTGGGCGGGCTGAGAGATCACTCACGATGATCAGAAGGATGAAGTAGATGAAATTGTAGAAGGAATGAGCATCCATGACGAAGTACATGATGTCCACCCAGCCCTCCAGCGTGATGACCTGAGAGAGGCAGGAGAAAGAACAATCAGCTCACCAGTCACCACCCCCATAGGCCTAAGCACAGGAGGAACAGCACTCATGCCCTTCGCACTGGTCAGTGACAATCTGGTTGCACCAAGGCCATGTACTACAGCTCAGAGGGAAAAATCCTGCTCCCTGAAAGTCAGTGGCAAAAATTCCAATTAACCTCAACGGAGCAGCGTTTGGTCACCCAAGTTTTGTAGCTCTAAAATAGAGTCACGCTGAGGAGAAGGACGTAAACCAATCTAACACAGTCTGCTCTCCTTTTCCTACCACCTCTTGGGCCAGATACCTGCTTAAAGTAGCACCTTGCTCTTGGTCTCAAATACACTGGTATGTTTCAGTGTGGGATGAGCATAGTATAGAATAGTGGGATGGATTCATTGTGCTTACAAAGGTTCATACACCATTTGTTAACATGCTTATTTAATGCCACTCAAAGTGGTAATTGGAAACATACCTCATGTTAAAAAGCCTTATGGCAATGATGCTTCCAGGGTCCCAAGAGCTGACGATGCAAAGAAAAGTGATGCACAAACTGAGTTGGAAGGAAACTCTTGGGTGAAATTTACCGCTGTGCAGAGAACCTGCAGAAAAGCCTGTATACCTCTTAAATCCCAGTTAATCCCTTCAATTGAATTTAAATGGTGCATAGACCTTCTACACAGGAGTGGATTTCCCTCCAAGTGAGGAAGGCTTCTTCAGACTGGACATCAAATTGCCCTCCTGGCAGCCTATGGGGCTCTTGCATTACTGCTCAAGGAGTGGAATAGCTATAGGAGAGCAGAGCTGGTCCTGCAGATACTTGTGAACCTAGCACTGATCAAGGTAGATTTGACCTGACCTGTGAGTACTCACTCTCAGCGGGGGTGAGAATGGGAGCCTGCCCACCGTGCTCACCTGAAATATTGCGATCCATGCATATCCGATGTTGTCAAAGTTGATGGCTCCTTTGAAGGGGTTGTGCTCCCCAGCCGAACAGTTGGTGTAATACTGGTTCCAATTGACGCAGGAGGTGTTAGTGGTGTCGTTATAGGCGTAAAAGTCCAGGGTGCACTCCAGGCCTTCTTCCCTCCGTGTCGGGATACTGCGGCAGTAGCGCATTCCATTCTCCCGAGGCTGGGAGCAGATGAAGGGATTTTCATCCTCATTCTCTGTCTGATAGTATCTTTCCATCTCTACTGTGTAGGGCCTGAAAGAGACCAGACAAGGGTGGGTTTTGCACAGTGACTAAAGGCAATCTGTCAAGAGAACAACAACAACAGTAACACTCAGGTGTCTAACAGCTTTTATCCAGGATCTCAAAGCATTTTACCGAATGATTGAATTCACCCTGCAGAAGCCCTCTGATGTGACTTCATATTATTAAGCCCATGTTGGGAAACTAAGGCCTGGTCTACCACTTAAAAACTAGATTGACCTAGCTACACTGCTAAGGGGCATGAAACATTCATATCCCTGAGCACCGTAGTCAAGCCGGCCTAACTCCCAGAGTAGATGTGGCTAGGTCAATGGAAGAAGTCTTCTCTCAACCTAGCTACCGCAGCCTGGAGGGGAGGATTAGCTAAACCCCTTCCATCAGCGTAAGAAGTGTCTACGGTATGGTGCTACTGTAGCACGGCTGCACTAATGTAACTGTGCCTCTGTAGTGTCTGTAGTGTAGACCTGGCTTGGGGCAAAGAGAGGCAAAGGGACTTGCCTAAGGTCACTCAGAGAGTCAGTGGCGGAGCCAGGAAAAGCTCTCAGGGATCATGACTCTTACTCTGCTGTTACAATCACTAGCATGCACAGCGTCTCTTCACCTACTGAATGGCAAGGAAAAAAAGAGAAACAGCAGAAAAAGAAATAAAGAGGGGGGAGGAGGAAGTGAGAGAAATAGTTTGGACACATTGCGCCAAATTCCACTCTTAGGTGCCATGGTGTAACTCTGGAGTAACACTGCTAATGTTATTGCAGAAGAGTAACTCCACCCAGATGTAGTCCTGGTTTACATTGGTGGAACAGAGAGCAGCATGTGGCCCACAAATTTTACATCCTTTATGAAGTTGTTGTCACTGAAGTCAGATGGGAATCAGTCTGTTAAGGCCAATTTATCTTCTGCCCTCCCAGAGTTGCTGAGAACATCTGTGCAGCAGGAGAATGCATTGCTTGGATAGACTCCTTCACAAGGCAAGCACCACCCAAGGTTCCCTGCACCACTGTTAGCTCTCTTGCTCAGGGCTCAAGGTGACAGTTCAATGTCAGACAAGCTGAAAATTCCCTCCAAAGGTGATCCTGGAACAACAAGCAAGTCCAAATCACATGCTCCAGGGGAGACAAAACAGCCCCGTGGTCAGCTGGAAACTAGCTTATTCTTGCTCAATAAATGGCTATTTCCTTAATGCCACCTGGACTCCCACTAAAGCTTGCAAAGCTATTTTTAAGCCTAGTTCGGCCCAGTTAATTCCTGCAGAATTGCCTTTAATACCATCCAAAGCTTAGCTAAAGTCCTGGAATTCTGGTTCAATTAAACAGCACCCAGACCAGTAGCTGCATTGGCTTTACCCAACTGCAAAACAGTTCATTTGCTCTATTACCCATTTACCTAAAGGGCCTTTCCATGTTAATGAAACTCCAGCTCCCCTCCCAGAGAATGAAACCTACAAGAGGCATGACACACTGTTCAGAGCTGAAAAGGAGAGGACTGAGATTCTCCCATTACCTCTCGGCATGGATGTAACAACTTGATCAACTCCTGGAATTTTACAGGCAAAATGATTCATGGGCAACCTACAACATTTCAGGTCCTGTGTTTTGCATCTGGACCTCACCCCTCTAGTAGTGAGAGCATAGTTATATTTACTGTAGTTCTGTTGTGTCTCTTTTGATGTTTTGGACAGCGGTTCTTTAAGAAGAATCATAGAATATCAGGGTTGGAAGGGACCTCAGGAGGTCATCTAGTCCAACCCCCTGCTCAAAGCAGGACCAATCCCCAATTTTTGACCCAAATGGCCACCTCAAGGATTGAACTCACAACCCTGGCCTTAGCAGGCCAATGCTCAAACCACTGAACTATCCCTCCCAATAAAGAATACTAAGGCTCTGGTTCTCAGCCTGGGAGTTGACACTCCTGGAGTTTAGTGAATCGGTATCAGGGCATCATGACCACCTTGCCCCAGGCTAGATCAAGACTAGGGGAGAGTGGAGTTGGAGGCGTCCCAGTCTGGAAAAGGTAGAGAACCACTGTATTAGGGGATATTCAGAATGTCAGTAAGGTACTGAAAGCGTTAATACTCCAGGCAAGTGGTCTGGCCAAGAATAAGTTAGAAATTGGAAGCCAGCAAACAAAGTTTGATCAGAACAGTCCCTTCTGGCCTTAAAAATTGATGAACATGAATAGCTCTTTGGGGAGGGACTGCATCTTCCTGTGTGTTTGCACAGCCTACAGCATAATGCAGGCTATGCTCAGTGCAGTTATCTGGTTGGGATCATTAGATACCGGTTGGGCTACCGCAATAAAATAAATAGTCATAGCTGCTGAATGGGGCTTAGGTCTCAGTGTCTTGGCACATGCAGAAAAGGTCACGCAGTAATTGCATGCTGAAGCTGGGAAGTCTGAGCGATCTCTCTCTCCCAGGTTTTCCTATCCAGCAGGGTGGTATCTAAGCACTCTACAACAATTAAAGGCAGTGCTCCATGTACCTGAAATGGCACTGTTGTCACAACCTCCTTTGTTCCTGCGGGGCATATCTGGGGGGTGGAGTTTGGGAGTAGGGAATATTTAGGGCTGTTGATTTTTAAGGGAGCATGGTCCTGTCTTCTGTGACCCTCCATCCTTTGGATTATTTGTATACTGCTATTGTATATACAAAAAGAAAAGGAGTACTTGTGGCACCTTAGAGACTAACCAATAAGGTGCCACAAGTACTCCTTTTCTTATTGTATATACTGTTATGCAAAAGGGGCTAATGTCTTGCCCATTAGGGGTCATTTGATTCATTAGCACCCAGAACCTTGTTAAAGAGATAGCGTGGGCTGATTGGCTGAATCGCTCTCCTTTGTCTGGCAGTGAAAGCGCTGAGGTATTTTTTGTAGGCAAAGCAGCTGCACAAAAGGAGAGCTGATGCCCCCTGGCTCACCTTTGAAAGCTATGTGGTCCCAGAGAAGCTTTGAGACAGGGGTTTCCCAGGTACAAATGTCCTGGGGCAGGAAGAGAAAACCATTTGTTAAGCAACTGAGATTTGGGGGGGGGGGCATGTCTATGCTCTGGCTGCTACATAGGCACAGCTACCGTGCTGTAGCTATGCCACTGTACTGTCACAGTGCAGACAATTCCCATAGTGACAGAAGAGATTTCCCATCACTGTAGGAACTCCAGCTCTGCAAGTGATGGCAGGTAGGTTGACGAAAGCATTCTTCCATTGCCCTAGCTACGTCTACACTGGGGGCTTGGTCGGCGTAGCTACGGTGCTCGAGGGTGTGGAATTTCTGTAGCTGTTAAGTGTAGACTAGGTCAGAGAGACAGAAGCGAAAGGTAGCTGCTTCTGGGACAGGACAGAGGTGGGTGTCATACCTGAAGAGAGCAAGCTGCCTGTGTGCAGTCTGTGACCACCTCTGTTCAAGGAAACAGGACTCGTGTACATTTGGTAAACATACACATTACGCAAAGAAACTGCCGGACTTCAAGTCACCGATTTCTGCTCCAAATGCAGAATTGTCCTGCAAGGCCTAAAACTGGCTTCCGCTCAAAGGGGCAATAATGCACTGATTTGGGTGAAATCAACTTGGTTTGCATGTTACCGTAGAACTTGCAGGGCCTGATCCTGTCACCCTCGCTCACACTGAGTAACTGCACCACTTGCAGAGGAAGGTAGTACCCAGCCTGAGTAACCTCCTGGTTGCTTTATGCTAGTTTGTGCTGATTTATGTATTTCTTGAGTTTTTCATCCTGTTTACAAAAATTGCAAAACCTGTTAAGCCCAGAGCAAATACGTGACTGGAGAGTGAGTGTGAAAAGCTTTTGGATTAGAAGAGCAACACAACACACCATAGAATGGGAAAATGGGCAGACGGAGAGATGGCATGAACCTCCCACCTGAGATCCCATCACCACAGATCTTCCCACAAAGGGGCATTACCAGCGGGGAGATCTCAGTCGCTAAGTACCAATAGGCAGAAACATCAGGCCAGTATCTCTCAGCTACGAATATCCCAGCTTATACCCACTAACATCCTTACAGGCAGGCAAGCAGGACTGGTCTATGCCAGTGGTGGTCAACCAGGGGTCTGGGACCCGCTGGGGGGCTGCGAGCTGGTTCCAGGGGGGGTCTGCCAAGCTGGACCGGCATTAGACTTGGTGGGGCCCAGGGCAGAAAGACAAAGCCCCACGGCATGGGGCTGAAGTTGAACCCTGAGTAACTCCGCTTTGTGGGGCTCCCTGTGGTGGGGAGTCATGGGCAATTGCCCTGATTACTATTCCCCAACACTGGCCCTGCCTTGTATACACATAAGAACAGTTGTTGGGGCACAGGTGGGCTGTGGAGGTTTTAAATAGCCGGGGGGGGGGGGGGAAGGGCTCAGAAAGAAAAAGGTTGGTAACCCCTGGTCTACGTTATGAGCACTACAGTGGCACAGCTGATGCTGCAGTAGCACCATAATCTAGATGCTTCTTACAACGGGTGTTTTTTTCCCCTATCTCTGTAGGTAATCCACCGCCCTGAGCGGATTCCCTTGACCTAGCCACGTCTACACCAGGGGTTAGGTCAGCATAGCTATGACTCTCGGGGGTGTGAATACATAGCAGTAACTATGTCAACCTAATTTATAAGGACAGACCAGACCTCAGTCTATGACCCTCAGCCACTTACCTTTTGACATACTAATAAGCCTACAGTTAGCTGAGGTTCCCCAGTCACTAATTTCCCAGTTAAGGTCCCTTCCCAGTCTATCCATCTCATCTGTCCCTCAGGCACTAGCCTCCTGATACCAGCTGAGACTGGCTGCCTGTTTCCTCAGCCAGGTGGAATTCCTCAATCACTGATCTCCAGGCCGAAGAGTCTCACATTTACATTGTATTTCTGTAATCTGGGACATTACCATTCCTTGCATTACATCAGGATCAGAGATTCCCACTAGACACATAGGTCACATTAACAGAGACGTACTGCAGATACCTATTTTAATGCCAGAGGTTTATTAGACTGATGTATTGTTAAGCTCATTCCTCACTGAGCTGAGAGAGCACCTGCCTCTGGAGCATTCCTTTCATGAAACCCATGAAGACATTCAGTATCAGAGCAGTGGTGGTTCCTTACAGCCAAGTCCAGGTCCCACAGCAGTCAATGGCACATTCCTATTGGCTTCAATGGAAGGGGGAATTGACCCTTAGACAGGTTTCGATCGGCCTCAATTCCCAGGCCAGGTGGGGAACCTTTATTCATACTTACAGACTGAAGTTCTCAGGTAGGAAGCAGCGGTTTCTGAGCAACCCTGCCCACAGCTGGACTCCCACGATGCCAAAGATAAAGAAGACAAAGAAACAGAGGAGGAGGACGTTCCCCAGCATGGGCAGTGTGTCCAAGAGCAGCGTGACAAGGATGCGCATACCTGAGGCAAAGGGGGAGTGGCCTTTAAATTTCCTCATTCCTCACATTCAGGCTAAGCTCTCCCCACCCGGTCCCTTCTAAAGTGGCCTTCCGCCCACTCACTGCTCAATTCCCTTCTGCAACCTCCCCACTGTCTTCCCACCCAATGTCCTTTTCGCCCTCGGGTGTCTTCCAGGCACCTACAGCTCTCCCACTCATCTCTAAATTCCTGCAAGGGACCTTGGGACTTTCTCCCTTTAACCCTACATGCTGCCATCAGCCCCACCTCTTCACAGTCACCATGGTATCTAACCCACAATCCTTCCACACCCACTTCTTCCCCTTTGAACTCCTCCCCTTCCTCTCAAAATTCTCCTTTTCTAACTTGTCAGCTTAACTTTCTTCTTTCTTAACCTAGACTGAACTCTGCCATTCACCTGTAAGCTCCTCCTACTCACATTACCTCTAGAGTAATTCTAGAGCGTTCAGCATAAATTAAAATCTCCTTCCCTTCCTAATTCTTCTTATCTCCTCTAAATCCCTTCTCCTCCTTAAAATACAGGACTTCCGATGGCAGTTCATTCCTACAAGTTCAGGAACATTCAGTTCTGTACCAAAGACAAATTGATGGCGACTCCAACTTGACATTTACACAAAAAAATTGATTTCGTCCGACATCTCTGTAATATTCTGCTCATCTCTCTTTCCCTCTCTCTTCTCTCTCTCTGTATCTCTTGCATTCATTCTCTTGCTTGTATTGATCTTTATTTAAGGAAACCTTCACTGTGGCCTCTTTTACTTTTGGTACCTGAACAAGCCTTTTTCATTGTTACACGATGCTGTCGTCTCCATCCAGTCCACTCTGTCCCTCCTCTGACTGGATAAGCCTCCCTGCTCAACTCCTAAATAACAAACAACCTTCTCTAGTTCTTGCATTTATCACCTATCAGAACTCTTTCTTCCATTCCCACCTTATGTTTCTATCCTGCTCTAGCTCCACTACATAGGAGATGGGATAAATCACCCAGGATTTGCAAATACATTAAGTGAATTACATCCACAGTTAGACAGCGGCAGATAAATTCCACCATCCATCAATTCTGCAGGGGGGAAAAATTACAAACAGGGTTCTGAAGCTACCGTAATGATAAAAGCAGCAGCAAACAGCAAAACCAGATTATGTTTAATGGACAGGATCAGAAAAATAATTACAACCTAGGAATTTCCAAGATCGCTGGACAGAGTGGGGGCCAAGTAGCTCCCGTTGAAGAGACAGCCTAGTTCAACCAGCTGGGCTGCCTTTCTGACTGAGATTTAATTTGGCTGATAACCATGGTGAATTAGATACTTTCTATGTGTCTGGAATCCAGTGTATCTTTTCCAGTGATGTTGCATCGCATTTAGTACATATGATTCTTAGAATTTATGAGTGGGACCGAGTTTATTATCTACCTACCTGCTGGTATTATCTTGCTGCCTATCCCTGTATCATCTGAACGCCTTCCACTTAAAATCAATAGCAATACCAAAATCCCTGTGGGCCACATGGAGTCTCCAGCAATGACATTTCTGTCTTCTTAGGGCCAAAACTCTACTTGGGGTAGGTTCGTTTTTTGCTGGTGTTTGGCCACAGAAGGGGCTGTTTCTATTGTGGAGCATCACTTCTGGGGAAAGGAAGGTTTCGCATAATTTTTTAAAGACAATAAGGAACTTGGTGAGGGCCATAGCATCATTTAACTCCCAGAAAGACAAATCATGAATTCTCAATCAGCAGCTCGCATCCACCTTGCCCTTCCCATGTTGCTAAATAGGAGGACGGTCCCACTGTGCAAAAGGTTGAGAATTGCTGATTTACACAAATAACATGGCCCTAGGGGATCCTAAGTAGCGACTCGCTTGTCTCTATGGGGAAAGTTACTGGCACACAACTATACTGGTATATCACTTTGAAAGCGGTATAACCTAAATGGAAAAAAGGCTCTCTTATTCCAGAATAAGAGTGTCTACAGGGGAAGCTATACCATAGCTACAGCAATATAATCATTCTTGTATAGTTCTGCCTATACATTCCCCTGTGTAAACAAGTCCTAAGAAGCGAAGGAAGGCAAGATGCAAAGCTGCTGCAGCAGAGCTGAAGATGTGGTCCACAGTGTATCCTTGAACTATTGTAACAATACAAGCACGGCAAGCGCTCCCCACTCATGATCTATACCCGCCCCCCTCCAAACACACAGACCAGATCAGTCACACCCCTCAGTGCCTTTCACATTACACACCACTCCTTCCCCCAAACGAACTTTTCATCTCCTTGCAAAGTGATTCAGAGAGGAGCTCCCTAGCAGGGAGGCGGCAGTGTACCAGATAAACAAATGGAACAGTGTGGCTGGTCTTTGACTATCAATTCGCTCCTGTTTCCAAAGATGGTTAGATGGATGGACTATTCATTAAAACCAGCATGGCGTTAGGGACTACAAAAGGACTGTAGGAGCCAGCTGTAGCTGTATGAGCCAGCCCACTTAAGACACATAGGCCAATGTTTTCAGGGCAACTTGAGAAAAAAAGATGCAAAGCATCCCTATTGCTCCTTCAGCTGCACTGTGTCTGGAATAATGAGCTGAAACGAACTGAAAAAGGGAGGACAACAGGGAATTGACTTACTGGGAACTCTGTTAATGGCTCTGAGTGGCCGAAGTACTCGGACAGTCCGAACAGCTGAGAAACTGACATTCTGCAAGTCCAGGGAGTATTCCAGCATGCTACAGAAAACACAAACATGGGAGCACATGAAAGATCTGCAGGAGAAATGTTAGATCATCAAACATATGCAGTGTGCCAACAGAGACACTTTCTATTCTGTCTTCCCCATCGGGAAAGGTTTCTGGAAGAATTAATTATGCTTATTTGCTTATCCAAATAAAATCAACGAGAGACACCATTGCACAGTTCTTCCCCCCTCTCTTTGGTTTTGGTTTCTGTTCTTGTACAAGTTCCAGGGGAGTAGCTTCCTGAAGATTATTCTATTATCCAGGAGGGGAATTTTCAAAGAGAGGTTTAGTTGTAACAATAATGTAAATGCTGTAAGAAATCCGCGGCCACTTAGGATTTCCTGGTTGTCACTACTGCATGCCGTAGCAACTGAAAACAGCCGGGACAGGACTCGGACACTCCTGCTGCAACAGCGTAGACCAGGGGTGGCCAACCTGAGCCTGAGAAGGAGCCAGAATTTGCCAGTGTACATTGCCAAAGAGCCACAGTAACACGTCAGCAGCCCCCACCAGCTCCCCCGCCCCGCCTGCCAGCCGCCCCGCCCACAAGCGCCTCCCCTCCCTCCCTGTGCCTCACGCAGGATGCAGGAGGCTCCGGGGGGGTGAAGAGCGAGGGTGCGGCAGGCTTGGGGAAGGGAGCGGGAAGGGGCAGGGCCTTGGGGGAAGGGGTGAAGTGGGCGCAGGGCCTGTGGCAGAGGCAGGCGTTGAACAGCGAGCAGTGGAAAGTTGGTACCTGTAGCTCCAGCCCCGGAGTCTATGCAAGGAGCCGCATATTAACCTCTGAAGAGCCGTATGCGGCTCCGGAGACACAGGTTGGCCACCCCAGCATAGACCCCCTAGTCCCTATACTGTTCAATATGACAGAGTTGAGTGATTCCAATTCTATCCCACAGAGGGCAGTGAAATAAACAGGTGGACAGACAGACACGTACTCAAGTCAAAATACTTAACATTTTTATATAAAATTTACCTGTTCAAAGTACCATACAAACGTTGCCCCATTAACCTCACAATAGGCCTGTGATGTATACAATAAAGTATCCCCATTCTACAGCTGGAGACACTGAGGCACAAAAGACTGGGGTGACAGAACTGTTACTAGATCTTGGGGGTTCCTGACTCATTCCTCTGTGCCACATTCCCACTCACTAATTGTTATGGGAATGATAATAATGTCTCTAACAGCACTGTCTCATTCAGTGGGGAAGAAAGCAGAAGACTGCATTTTTTTAAGGGAATCTGTCAGGTCAGTTCACACTTGAAATTTTATGTTTTGAATTTTTTTTTTTTTTTTTTTAACAAACCCTAAGATCAAGACACAGTTTGGCCTGTTTGTTGTTTAATTCAGATTTTGCTGGAAGCTCATTGTTTGCATCCCAGAGACAGTACCACGGCCCTAGAGCAGGAGAGCCAAAAGGCAACACTGACCATTTTATTTTCATCATCCAACTTCAGAGGAACGCTCATAGGGAAACCACAGCATTCATGGTGACTGGAGAGAGAGGCTGGCTGTCAAAATTAGATCCCAATCCTGCAAAGATTTCATCCATTGCTTTTAGCAGGATTATCCATATTGGCTGGAATCCTGGCTCCACTAAAGTATTATTGACACAGGGGCTAACAGGAAAACTCAGAACAAGGTCTCACTCATGACATCATCAATGTTTATATATTTTTGGATTTGATATTTTGGTCTAGGCTCATCTAGACTGAGGAATAGATCAGATTTTAATAACTATGGTGTTACTAAGGGAATGAGGTTTTAAAAATAGTCACATTTAATATGATCGAGTCCTTTTATTGTAAAAGAACAGGTGTAACGACAAATGCAAAAAGAACAGGAGTATTTGTGGCACCTTGGAGACTAACAAATTTATTTGAGCATAAGCTTTCATGGGCTAAAACCTACTTCATTGGATGCATGCAATGGAAAATACAGTAGGAAGATATATATATACACACACACACAGAGAAAACATGAAACAATGGGTGTTACCATACACACTATAACGAGAGTGATCAGTTAAGGTGAGCTATTACCAGCAGGAGAGAAAAAAAACAAAAACAAAAAAACCTTTTGTAGTGATTATCAAGGTGGGCCATTTCCAGCAGTTGACAAGAATGTGTAAGGAACAGTAGGGGGGAAAAATAAACATGGGGAAATAGTTTTACTTTATGTAATGACACATCCACTTCCAGTCTTTATTCAAGCCTAATTTAATGGTGTCCAGTTTGCAAATTAATTCCAATTCAGCAGTCTCTCGTTGGAGTACGTTTTTGAAGTTTTTTTGTTGTAATATTCCGACTTTTAGGTCTGTAATCGAGTGACATGGGAGACTGAAGTGTTCTCTGACTGGTTTTTGAATGTTATAATTCTTGACGTCCGATTTGTGTCCATTTATTCTTTTACGTAGAGCCTGTCTGATTTGGCCAATGTACGTGGCAGAGGGGCATTGCTGGCACATGATGGCATATATCACATTGGTAGATGTGCAGGTGAATGAGCCTCTGATAGTGTGGCTGATGTGATTAGGCCCTATGATGGTGTCCCCTGAATAGATATGTGGACACAGTTGGCAATGGGCTTTGTTGCAAGGATAGGTTCCTGGGTTAGTGTTTTTGTTGTGTGGTATGTGGTTGCTGGTGAGTATTTGCTTCAGGTCAGGGGAATGCAAAAACACACATGGTCATGTAGCAGAACTTTTGGTAAGCAGAATGCTTCCAAGAGATTTGAATGAGGAGACATCAACTCTGGAAGGGGGTTTCATAGACTCATAGGACTGAATGGGACCTCGAGAGGTCATCTGGTCCAGTCCCCTGCACTCATGGCAGGACTAAGTATTATCTAGACCATCCCTGACAATCTAACCTGCTCTTTAAAATCTCCCATGATGGAGATTTGACAACCTCCGTAGGCAATTTATTCCAGTGTTTAACCACCCTGACCGTTAGGAAGTGTTTCCTAATGTCCAACCTATAAAAGGCATCCAAAGCTGGGTGCCTTGGCTCCCTTTCTCTACAAACGGTACCAATGAGAGGGTAATATTAACCAATGAGGGATGGAAAAGATGGGAAGATTATTTAGACAGTGTCATCACTTGGAAAAATAGAATGAAATTTGCTCTCGCTCCTTGAAGGCTTTGCTGTGCGCTACCATCACTCAGACATGGCTCTTTAAGCTTCACCAGGTGCACTTGCTACAATTTAAGCCTGTTGTTTCTTGTCCTATCCTCAGAGGTTAACGAGAACAATTTTCCTCCCTCCTTGTAACGACCTTTTATGTGCTTGAAAACTGTTATGTCCCTTCTCGCTCCTCTCTTCTCCAAATTAAACAAACCCAGTTTTTTCAATCTTCCCTCATAGGCCATGTTTTCTAGATCTTTACTCATTTGCTCTTCTCTAGACTTCCTACAATTTGTCCATATCATTTGCTCTTCTCTAGACTTCCTACAATTTGTCCATATCTTTCCTGAACTTTGGAACCCAGAACTGGACACAATACTCCAGTTGAGACCTAATCAGCATGGAGTAGAGCTGAAGAATTACTTTTCATGTCTTGCTTACAACACTCCGGCTAATACCTCTCAGAATGATGTTTGCTTTTTTTGCAACAGTATTACAGTGTTGACTCATATTTAGCTTGTGATCCACTATGACCCCCCAGATCCCTTTCTGCTGTACTCCTTCCTAGGCAGTCGTTTCCCATTTTGTATGTTTGCAACTGATTATTCCTTCCTAAGTGGAGTACTTTGCATTTATTCTTATTGAATTTCATCCTATTTACTTCAGACCATTTCTCCAGTTTGTCCAGATCATTTAGAATTGCTATTTGTTAGGCCAAGTCATCTATTCCCACGCAGCAAGTCTTTATACAATTGGCAGACATGCAAATAAATGTGCGACATCATTCTTCTTATGCTTTCTTAAGCTTTCATTCCTGCCCTACCCTTCCTAACCCCTCCATCTCTGCTGCTTGCAAGAAACAACCTAGGAAAATGACTTCAAAAGAGCAAATATAGCACCAGGAAGAGACCAAACAAGTCAAACACACAGTTTTAAAATATTAAAATTGTGTATAAAGGCACATCAGAGCAATTGGATTTGTGCTGACTGGAGAATAACTTGTGCATACACATTATTGCTCCAGGAGACAGATGAAAAAGAAGTGGATACGGAGGAGGGCCAGAAGCCCAAATTATTGATAAAAGTAGCTACCAAAGTCACAGAACGCTGCTGCCGATGCCCCTGGCACTAGGTTCTGCAGATGAAAGGCCTATGTCTGCACCATGACAACTCCAAGGCAGTGTCTCTGAAGACAGGGATTGTGGGTTGAAGCAAACAAGTTGGGGGCTTGGGGCGACAGTGGCAAGTTTTGGGGCCCTCTGTTAGAAGAATTATTGTCACTGCTGAGTTTATGGAATGCAGCTGCAGTATGGTCCAGGTAGCAGTGCTGGTCAAACCATTTGTCCTCCACTAGGACAGCATGACCTTTCGGGGGGCGGGGGGTGCAAGTTTTGCCATCATTACGCATGCCCCTGTCACCTCGAGATACACTTACAGCAAAATGCTGTATGTGAGGCCATATGTGTAATGATATGTTTACCTGCAGCATGCCATTCAACCACTGGAGAAAATGTTGGGAGAGGCTCTTGAGCTAGAGGCCCCCTCAGTTGGATTCACAGAGCATTACAGAGACAGGAACTCCCCCAAACTCTGCTGGTGTCTCCGATAAGGGGGACTTGGTTAGGCTCCATCTCTGCCTTCTGTCTGTCTAGGTACTCATAATCCCCATCACCATAATACCTGAGCACCTTGCAACCACTCACAATCCCTCGCGGAGATAGGGGGTAATAGGGAAGGACTTTACAGATCAAGAACTCAGGCACAGAGACTGGATGATTTGCCCAAGGTCAAACAGGGAGCCTGTGGCAGAACTGGGAACTGAAGCCAGGGCTCTGAGTCCTAGCCCACTGCTTCGATCACAAGACTCT